CCCCAAAACCCCAAAACCCCAAAACCCCAAAACCCCTGATTTCACTAGAATTGTTGAAAATTACTTGCAACTAGATCTTGTCAACAAGTCGAAGTCGTTCTCACGAAAATCTTGAGAAATTTCCTTCCGTGTTTTACCTTTGGTTTCTTTGACAAAGATCGTGATAATGAAGAATCCTGCTATTGAGATCCCGCTGAAAAAGAAGAAATAGAATGTTAAGGTGTCATGAAACTTGATAGTGTCTTTTGTATCACGCACAAAAGTTAGCCCAAAGTTAGGGATAATCCCGATTATGGTGTGTGATCCCCAATGAACTACTGAAGAGATTGCCATGCCCTTATCAGTCAATATTTCAGCAGCATAAACATATATAACAGATGCAGTTGTCAGGAAAAAGCCTATTGCAAATAGAATAACTGTAACCATTAGCAAAATATTTGCAAATCCACCAACAGCTTGGATACTCAAATTGATAAAAGGAACTTCTTGAAAAGTTTGAAACAGTATTCATGATGCCAATCAAGCTATAAGAGCACCAGTAAGCAGAATAGGCTTTCGTTTCCCGTATTTCAGCATATACATCGCAACAAAGTTTGCAGTTACTGAGAAAATCACCACAATCAGATGCAAATTGAAAAAAATATTTTCAGAATGGAGCCTAATAAAGAAAGAAAACTGAAGAATTAAGTTGATTCCACTAAATTGCTGAAGGAATCTAACTATACTGCCAGAGAACACTTTTTTAAATTTCTCCCTTCTTGCACATATGCTTCCATGTGTCTCTTTCCAGTCGTGTTAATCGTCTCTTATGGGTACTCTGTACGTTAAAGCTCATTTCCATGCCTTGATTAGTGTCTGTAGCAGTAGAGCTTGCACTATCGATAGATATTGTTGTTGGATTATAAAATTCCTCATACTGCGGATCTTCTCGCTTGAATATAAATAAAAGTCATACTAGCTGGATCAAGGCAATTATGGCAGGGAATCCAACCAATTCTCTCCAAGGAACATATCTTCCGTATAAAGGATCTCAGTAGTCAGTTACTTTACCATTTGGTCTGTAAAATGGAGGGAAGAAAAGAGCAATCAGAGAAGAAAAGACAAATCCCACATTAATCACAAGCTGTACTAGTGTAATCATTGGTCCATGATTTTGTTCTGGATTGATATCTCTAATAAAAATAGGAGAAATAGTATTTGAAAATCCAAAAGAAAGGCCTATCATCACCCGGCCAATGATAAATGAGTTGAAATTGTTAATCATCTGTATACCAATAGCGATCAGTGTGATACAGCATTGGATTATCAGGAGTTTTCTTTTCCCAAATTTTACGAACATCCAGACAACTACAGATCCCACAGTTGCAGCAAGGGCCACTATAAAAATATGATTAAATTTATCTAATACAATTTTCATTTCAAGGAAATCTGTTGATCAAGATGAACAATTTTCTTACTTGAAGTATTCGCCCAGACATTAGTATCCCCTCTTTTTACAGGATCGAATCCAAATATTCAAGGGGTAAAGTCCCATAGGATCCTCATAACGACGATATAGTAGGGCATATAGAAGTTGCTCATTGCAATGATAATGCTCCAAAAAAAGAGGTTCACTTGCGTAGACATTTATATTAATTCAATTTATTCATACAACATAGGGGTTTTGGGGTTTTGGGGTTTTGGGGTTTTGGGGTTTTGGGGTTTTGGGGTTTTGGGG